GCTTCTCACCTGTGTGAATTTTCATATGAGCATTTAAAGTGTCTTTTCGAGAGAAACTCTTTCCACAGGTCCCACAGGAGAAAGGCTTCTCACCTGTGTGAATTTTCATATGAGCATTTAAAGTGTCTTTTCGAGAGAAACTCTTTCCACAGGTCCCACAAGAGAAAGGCTTCTCACCTGTGTGAATTCTCATGTGAACATTTAAATGACTTTTTTGAGAGAAACTCTTTCCACAGGTCCCACAGGAGAAAGGCTTCTCACCTGTGTGAATTTTCATATGAGCATTTAAAGTGTCTTTTCGAGAGAAACTCTTTCCACAGGTCCCACAAGAGAAAGGCTTCTCACTTGTGTGAATTCTCATGTGAACATTTAAATGACTTTTTCGAGAGAAACTCTTTCCACAGGTCCCACAGGAGAAAGGCTTCTCACTTGTGTGAATTCGCATGTGCCGAGTTAAAGTTCCTCTTTCACTGTAACTCTTTCCACAGGTCCCACAGGAGAAAGGCTTCTCACCTGTGTGAATTCTTATGTGATGAGCTAAAGTCTGTCTATAAATGTAACTCTTCCCACAGGTCCCACAAGAGAAAGGCTTCTCACCTGTGTGAATTCTCATGTGAACATTTAAATGACTTTTTTGAGAGAAACTCTTTCCACAGGTCCCACAGGAAAAAGGCTTCTCACCTGTGTGAATTCTTATGTGATGAGCTAAAGTCTGTCTATAAATGTAACTCTTCCCACAGGTCCCACAAGAGAAAGGCTTCTCACCTGTGTGAATTCGCATGTGCTGAGTTAAAGTTCCTCTTTCACTGTAACTTTTTTCACAGGTTGAACATGTGAAAGGTTTTACTCCTGTGTGAGTCATCATGTGTCTCGTCAAGTATCTCTCTTTAAAAAAAGTTTTATCACAAATTTTACAAGAATATAACTTTTGCCCTGGTTGAGCTTTCTTGTGCTTTTGTTTTTCAGTATCAGTTCTGCCTTTCTGCTGTTTGGTTTTATCATATTTCTCCTTTTGTTTCTGTTCTTTCTTTCTCTTTTTTCCTGGGTCTTCAGAATTGCTTCCTTCCTGATCCTGGTTCTCAGCTTCTGGAGAGCCATGAGAGATGAGTTGGTTCCTCTGTGGTTCTGTTTCATTGAGAACTTCCTCCTCTTTATACACACAATGTTGTGGGAGATCTGGACAAAAAGACAAAAGCTCTAAAATGTCAAACAAACAAGGAATCCTTCACTTTAACATCTTGATGCATCAAAACAGGATGTTTTTGGGTTACTGTAAGATTACAATCTTACAAGAATGAACATTAACTCAATCAACAAGGTTCTTCTGACCAGACTGGAACTAGATGCGAGACAAAATATGATATTATGGACCTCCAGGTCAGCAAACAAGATGATGATAGCATAACCTGACAAATATTACAAAACTTTGTCTTCCTCCATGTAGCTACAGGATATATATCACATTAAAGAATATCAAAAAATGCCTAAAGAAAAACAAAGGGTTTTTAATCTCAACCACCGATATTGTCAGACATTGCTCCACTCACACTCAACACAAACTTTCAAAAGCACCACTAAATCTCAGCCTTTACTTTCCTACGATTCGTAGCAGAATTGGTAACAGTGGATGATTGTTGTTAACCGCGCACATGCAGAAATTAATGACAAAATGATCCTATTGAAAATATTTGACATGAATATTGGACAGTTTGGAAGATTAAATATGAAAGGTGAAAATGGACAATGATAATTGTTTAATACACAATTCATTAAATAAGTCATTACATTATTAAAATGTAAACTTAACACTCAATCAAGATAATTAATAATCATTTAATTATCTGTTGTTATCATTATTATAATTTCCTTGTTGCAGTTCCTGCTGTATCACCATGAAATAACGTTTTGATCTTTTATTCATGACTTGTAACTTTGTTCACTGAACTTGTTGGTATGTAGATCAGTAGAGACAAGCAGTGGTTCCTGCGTTCTTGTGAATAAAAAAAGACATCTGATCTCAGTGTCCTTATATCATTTCACCAAAGTGACTCTTTAACCCGTCGATCACTGTTACTGATGTAACAAATAATGCTTAGCCCGCTAGACTTGTAACACACTGGGACAAACCCTGGGTTTCTTACGAACAAAGGAGCATAACATTTTTAATCAGGAATAAAAAAATAAAAATAAAAATCACAAAGCATCTATGTTTGCCAACCACAAGCAGTATTTTCCTAATCTGTCTCTTAAACTGATTTATGTAATTAGTGATTTATTTATTGTCTAATTTGACATAGAAAGAAGCAAAGTAACAGCAAGCAGAAGATAAACAACATTTTAAAAAAACTAACTATTTTAAACAATCTTTAACCATTACGAGTAAAGATAAGACTGATGAATCACAAATTGTAACTTCAATATTATATGATAAATAGTAAACGGTCCAGGTCAAAGTTGATCATTCTAAGTAATTTAAATTCTTAGAACGATATGAGATGAGTTTAAGGCACTTTTTAAAGCAGGGAATTAAACCTCAATAACACCAATAAGCAACTAATTTGTAGAATAAAAATTTAATTCTAGATAAAGTTAAACATAAATAAGACCTTTTACAATTTTTCTTTTTAATCTTTTATGGCTAGCAGAGAAGAAGCTGCTGGCCCTGACAGTCCACCAGTGAATATTTAATGTTTATAATTTGAGTGGATTCTTTAGACAGGTTTCAGATACAGCGATGTTTAACCAGTCTGACCAGTAAACTGTTAAAGTGTTTCTAAAGTATTCGGTGTCAGATTGTCTTTGGTATCCGGATTCTTCCTTAAACTGGTTCGGTAGGCATAAGGGTGTCAAGTAAACTGTAATTGTCATATTATTTGATGAATAATAGTCGTGGTCGCTGTTGATCATTTTTAAGTCTGTAATGTTTACAGCTGCAGCGGATTTGTTATTACAGAGTTTTTAAGACGAAGCTGAAGTTGGTTTTCAATTCCAACTTCCGATTCGGGGAATGGCTCAAAGGCGATTCCACCTAATTTTTCACTACCTTCTGCATCTTTAATCAACTCTAATTTAAAAACTACAATACATAGACTCTTCAAACCTGGACTGGATTATTCTGCTCTTATTTAGCACCATGTTTGTGATTTGTAAAACTTTTATCTGATTTGTGAAACTTCAATAAACTCTTTTTTTCATCTGGATTCAGATCATGTAGGTTTTGATGTCTTCGATGTTTTTATCTTTACTTTTCATCTATTTATTAATTTCTTTTTATTTCTCTTTCTTACCGTTTATGTTTTGATGATGTAAAGCCCCC